TTGTCCCAGCACCATTTTAAACATTCCCCTTTAACGCCTTTTCCCACTGGTCTGGGGTGCTACTTTTTTTTCTTTTTAATATGTATTTATTTATGCACACTGAATTGGGGCATAGGCCAGAGGTGCAGGAGTGGTGAGAGGATTCACCAGAGGCAGAGCTGGGAGCAAAATAGATAGATCAACAAAGTACGGTGCTGAGGAACAGCCGGGGAGACTGGAGAAGTCTGCGGAGCCACGTGGATCACTTCTGCCGGGGATCAAACTTGCACTGAAGTGGCTGCGGCTATCCTAACCCATTGTGCCACCAGAGAGGACACTTTTTGTGTGTGTGTTGTTAGAGACTTACTTATTTATGATACAGAACTGGGGTCCAGGCCAGAGGCATGTGAGGATTCACCAAAAACAGAGGGAAGCAGAGTAGGCAGATCTAGGAAGTATACTGCTGAGGGGAGCTGCGGGCTAGATAGGAGAGGTCTGCCCACCTCCAGGATTAACAGCTATGGAACTCCTGGTGCGGTGGCTGCAGATAGCTTCATAGAGCTATACTTTAACCCCTCGCGCTGCTAGGGAGGGCCTCATACTACTATTAAAACAATTGTATAATACATTTTTTATAAATCTTTATGTTTGGTTTGACAAATCCCTTTACTCTATGCTTCATTTTTTTTTTTCTTCAGGAATCTAAGAACTATAGCTATTTTGTTCTTCCATGTACATTTGAGAATCAATTTTTGATGTTGCACAAAAGTCCTTGTTTCAATTTTTAATGAAATCTTATACAGTTCTTGCATATTTTATTAAATATATTCATAGATACCTTGTAAGTTTTGTCATGTATTTTAGAACGTTATATTCAGCTTATTGCTTACTTTAATTTTTATGATCTTATAACTAGCTGTTATACTACTTGTTATTATAATCAGCCAATATATCATGTTCTTTAGATGCTTTGCATTTCTATGTGGATAATCATATCCTGTGCAAATAATAGAATTTTTCTTACATCTGTTCCAATCTTCCCTTGATCCTCCCTGCCCCCAGCCCTCCTTCCTTGCCTTTCTTCCTTCCTGTATCTTACTCTACTAGCAAAGGACACAGAGTATATCAGGGAATAGAAGTGATGACTCTGGGCATTTTGTCTCATTGTTGATTTTTTTTTTTTAAGATTTATTTATTCATACAGAACTGGGGTACAGGCCAGAGGTGCAGGGGCAGTGAGAGTATTTACCAGAGACAGAGTGGGGAGCAGAACAGGCAGACTGACAAAGTACACTGCTGAGGGGAGCAGCGGGAGGGTCAGGAGAGGTCTGCCTCCCCATGTGCATCACCTCTGGGGCTGGTGGGGTTCAAACTCATGCTGAAGTGGCTCTAACTTCTCAGTGCTGTGCTTTAACCCTCTGTGCCACCAGGGAGGGCCCTCATTGTTGATTTTTAAGGTGTATACCAAACACTGCAGACTGAGAAAGAGATTTAGAACTGTGGGCATGGGGAACAAAGACCCAAAGAAGCACAGTAGTTGCCAAAGAGGAGTACTTATATGTACAAAAAACTGGCTAGCTCGTATGTTAGTCAGCCTCATGCAAATGAAGTATTCGCTAGTGCAGTTCTAAGCAATCATTGACCCAGTTTTAATCCTAGACTGTCTTTGTCTTTCCTGGGTGGTGGTGGTTATAGGCAGTGGACTAGTCTGGGCACCCAGAGCATGCTGTCGTGCCTGGACATGCTCCTGCCTGACCCTCAAGTACCTCAGCACTCTGGCTTTTATTCAAACTCAGGATGACTCCATTTTTGGTTGTCTGTCTTAGGTTACTTATCAAAAGGAATTTTCCTGAGATTTGCTCATTTGGCATAATATTTGCCAATGTTATTAACTTATACCTTTTATCAAGTTGAAGTTTTAGTAAGAATTTTTATTTGAATTGGTGTTGAATTCCTCAGATACCGTTTTCTATATTACTGAAGTATTTTGTGAAGTTATCATACAGTTTTCTCCTTAAATCTGGTACTATAATGAGTGACATTAATAGATGTTCTAATGTCAACACAAATTGGTTACCATACAATTATCTTTTTATGGCCTGTTGGATTCAATTTGCTAATTATGTTTGGAAGTTTTACATCATAATAGTATGTGGTTATGCTTTTCAAAAAAGCACAGAGATCTGAAATATTGCCATGAAATAATAAAGTTTATTTACTTTAAAACAATTTGGGGTGAGGGTAGAGAAAGAAGTTAGGAACAAAGTTGTTCATGGGTTGATGACTGATAAAGTTAGGTAATAGGTACATGGTGGTGACTCACTTTTTACCACTGTCTAATTTTTTTCTTAGCTTTAATAGGAAACTATTTTTTCCTACTATTAGCTACTTTTGAATGTTTATGCTTGAAAATTTTTCCAAGTAAGCACAGAGTATGATGGAAATAATTAAGACATTAATAAAAATCAAGGAAATGGTAAATAAAGACAAGAAAGCCAGAATTGATTCTTTGAGAAACTTGTAACTGATAAAGCAAATAAAAACTTAAAGAAGATATGACTCAGTAGAACAGATAAGAAAAAATTTGAAATAGGAAAAATTTAAGTCTTAATTTTACATAGTATATTGTCATTGTTTAAATTTCCCCATCTCATAATTTTTTTAAACCAGATAGAACATTATATTTACCTGACATACTTTTTTCACCTTTTAATTTTCTTTTTCATGTCTCTATGTTTTAGGTATTTCTTTTGTAAACTCATATATCTGGATTTTTTTTATTACCCTAGTCTGAAAAATCTTTAATTGCTAATTAGCTCACATCCTGGTTATTGTGCTTATTGATCTATTTAGGCTTATTTTGATAACCTTGCTATTTGATTTCTGCTTGTTGCTTTTTTTTTTGTTTCTTTTTATTCTTTTCCTCTCGCTTACTTTTTTCCTGAGTTTTTTTTCTTCTTTTTTTCCCTGATTCTTTACCATCACTTTGATAAATATAAAAATTTATACAAGAATGTATATATAAAAATACATATTATATAAATACATATAAATATGAAAAATTAAAAAGTATATAAAAATATACAAAACTATTTATATGCCTCCCCTCATGTTTGGTAGTCTTTAATTGTGAGCCCACTACTTGATTCTTGATTTTAATATCTGTGTCTTAGCTTCAGGGGTTCTATTTTTTGTAGGCCCAATGGCAGGATCTACCTCAGTGGCTTGGTGCTTTGGCATCTATCTGTAATATGCCACATCTATCATGGTCCACAACTCACAAGTTGTGGGAATTTCTTTTTGGGAGGTGTTAGCACTGGGCATTCTCAACTTTCTCATCCCTTTTGCAAGTGGATACAGTTGTTCTGGAATGACAGATTCCTTGGAATACAGAGATTGCCGTTATGCTAGAAGCAGAGCTTTTATTTTTATTTTTTTATTTTTGCTCTATTTTCTTTCCCTTAGTAGTTTCTGTTTTTTAGATTTGTTTTTCTAGTTTTTAATATAATTACAGTATGTATATATAATTTTTCTTTCTTACTTTTTCCCATTTCCCAAAGATTTTACACATTTTAAAATAGACCTCAGAAATATAATTTTTACTAATTATGCCACATTTCACTGAGTACCACTTTATATCATCTAGGTAGTTCTAGTTTTGTTCTACTAACACTTAAATTTTTATACATTTCTTTTTCATGAGCATTTTCAGTCATTAGAATGGGTTTCTCAAATATAAAAATGTTTGAATATTCTAAAATTATATGTGATTTAAAAAATAAAATTCTAAAAATTTTTTTATAAAGAATAAATGCATATAAGAGGTATTATCCTAGATTGGGCTTTTCTTTAATAAATAAATTATATTTTCTTTTTTCAATAAAATTGTATTAATTTTCTAGAAGACTGAATTTTTGCTAGTGCTTATTTGTTGTTAAGTGTCAGTAGCTTTTTATATAGTTTTAAAATTTAGTAGTTCTCAAGATATCTTGAGTAATAATGCTTTGTTGATAAGAATGCTTATTCTTGATTTTATTAATGTAATATTTTAATGAGACCATTGTAAAATCATTTAAGGGTTCAGCAAGTACCAACTGCATATTATTAATAATTGAATTAATAATTTAACAGTTATTGGATTCCATGTATTTGAATATTTCTATCATAGTTACAACTCTTCTTTGAAAGAAAAATTAGGGAATGAGTTAAAATTAACAACTTTGCCAAATCCATGACTTTTTGTCTGTTTTGTACATTATCAACATTATTGTAAATATGCTGTCATGTTTACTTTTAATTACAAATCACAAATGAAATTTTTGTTCATGTGAGTCCTTGGAAACTGTTGCATTCTATTCACATATAAGGTAGCATTTATATTCAACTACTACCTTTATTCAGTGAACTGGAATATAAGTATTTGAAAACCAATGTTACTGTTTTTTGTAGGTGGTAATTTTGTCATCTTTAGGTTTCTTATAAGCATTAATTACATCTTTAATCTTAAAATAAGCAAAACATGACTAACCAAGAAATGTATAGTTAGTTTTTTGAGGTAATAAGTTTTCTCTATGACTGGTATCTTTTCACCATTAGTGTTCCTGTTAAGCATCATGGTGAATTTATATTCTGTTTTTCAGGTGTTTCATTTTTTACTTTTGGTACCTTAAAGAGTGTTGGGCTTTCCCATGCTCCTAACCTTCTTGGCAGACCTTCGTCAGACAATCCTAATGTCTTAGTTTTGAAAACTCATATAAACTTACTTTGTGGTGGTGTTGCTGGAGCAATAGCACAGACAATATCGTAAGTTTCTTCCTTCATTCAATCAAGTTATACTTAATCCTGATTTTTAGCATTGCTTAGTCACTTTTTCAATAGATTATTCAAACACAGAATCCCTATAAAATGTTAGTTTTGATACATTTTTTCAAATGTGCTCACATTTTAAGCATATTATAAATGATTATGTGTCAATTACCAAATTAATTTAAAATTTCCCAATTTCCTATAGATTCATGTAAAAGAAAGAATACTAGAAAGCAACATTAAATATATTTGTCATTCATATTTTCTCCTGAATTTTGCTGATATTAAGTTTCTGAAGTATTTGTGTGTGTGTGTGTGAGAGAGAGAGAGAGAGAGAGAGAGAGAGGTACAACTTCTCGCATTAAATCTTCTTGTCAAGGAGTGTACTAGATACTAGATATTTGTAGGTTCATCGTAGATGAAACAAAGCCTCAATGAGCCTGTATTTTTTTGGCAACCTATTTTGGACAGTTGGTATTACCTACAGTCTCATAAAACAACACAGCAGTTAAAAATCAGTGCTTGTCTGTAAGTCCAAAGAGGGTCTAGCTTGTTCCCTTTCTCACCCTATCCCCACTGTACCGAGACAATAAGGTAGGTAGGACCAGCACTACACTCCAAAACTCAGCTTGAAGCAGGTATAAAAGCTAGAACTTTGTCCCATTACCAAAGACTTGTCATTGTCCTTGAAGGAGAGGAGGAAATGTCATAGCCTTATTACTAAAGTTAACAACCAAGCCCCTGCTCCTTGACCAGTAAACAAGTTTGGGAGGCGTATATGGATAAGGGGAATGAGTGGGGCTGCCATGGGAACCAGGCCATTAAGCCCATAGTCTGGATCATGACTCAGGACATACCCAAGGCCAGACAATCCTAGCCAGTCACTGATGCTGGAGTATAAAAAGAGGTTTTAGAGTCTCTCCCAGCACAGACTACCTCTTTTGTTTTGCTGCTTCTATCAGCAATGTATTTCAACAAATTCCCTTTCTCTGTTTTTTTTTTTTGAGAGAGAGAGCACCTATATTCTTATTAAGGCAGTAAAAATACAATAAAGTTCTATATTAATATATGTTGTGGTGGGAAATACAATAGGTAGAGGTATTACTGTGTTATAATCAGGTAGGTGGCTTCAAAGAATTTTCCAGACCAAGACAGATGCAATAGATGAGATTAAAAAAAGATGCTGGGGGCCCTCCCTGGTGGCGCAGCGGGTTAAAGCACTGCACTAAGAAGCTGAAGCCACTTCCGCATGAGTTCGATCCCCGCCTGCCCCAGAGG